GGTGGGCGAATTTGGTCTTGGCTCCTTGAATTAATTTCAAAAATGTTTGATTTGGTTTAGTTAGGTTCATCCAATGATGATGAAACCTAGATAAATCAAATCTATGAAAAATTAGGAGCAAAATGAGTCCAATATGTAAAATTTTGCCTAGGCCCAATTTTGGCTCAATTACTAGTCACACCCTCAAGCATTGCTAAATGTCACCCCTCTTTTCTTACTGAAAAAATAGAAAATGAGTGTATCAACAAAGGAGGTTAAATGGAATCAAACTCTCCAAGTAACCCACCCTAGAATCAATATACAATGACTAATAAAAGAAATTAAAGTGCCTCACAAATAAAAAGGCAAAAATAAGCTTATACAAGAGAACTATGTACAAGATATTTACAACTAGAACTATGTCTTCTCTTCATGATAGAGTGGTCCAAATTGAAGAGTACCTTAGGCTTGGAAAGCCCACTGGTCTTCAAGGTGTCCACTAGTCTTCAAGGTGGCCATAGCTCTAGAGATTGGGCCCTTGGCTCATGGTCCATCATCCCATTCCTCTTGGTTCCTTTAATGTATCACCTCTTGGATTCCTTGGCCTTGGCCATAGTTATCACTCATTCGGGAACACCTCAACAAAATTCCTCACTACATCTATCTCAGCTATGACCCTCTCGGTCTCCACACTCATGGCAACAAGCAGAAAATAGTATTCTGCTCCATCTCTCAACAATGATTTAGCTTGACCAGCTGAAATCAACAGCTCCTCCTCCACCTGAGGAAAGATCAGCCTCCTATTGACACAATCTATAAGGATGCGATTGGTAGATAACCAATCCATCCCTAAGATTATGTCAATATCCACCAGAGGCAAACAAATCAAGTTCACCTTGTACCTTTTCTCATTCACAATAATAGGATAGCCAGCACACAGCTTAGAAGCAACTACCAAAGAAGAAGCGGGCGTCGACACTAGCAGTCTCAACCCCAAGTCACACACCGGCACACCAAGCATAGCAGCACATGCATAAGATATAAAGGAATGAGAAGCTCCAGAATCAAACAAGATCATCACATCCTTACCAGCAATTTTACCCTTCCCTTTCACAAGGTCTGAGGAAGTAGAAGCTTTAGCCCTAGTCAAAGCGAATACCCTACCAGCAGTAGTAGGTCTATCACCCCTCTAAGCATCACCTCTCTAAGCATCCCTCTCCGGTCTGTCCCTGGCAGGACAATTGGCCGACTCATGACCCATCTGATGGCACTTGAAACACCGACTCTCCGTGTGTGGACAATCCCTAACAAAATGGGGTCCAACACACTTCAAACATCTAAGAGTGGCACCTCCACCCTGTCTCCCTCCTCTGGCAATATCAGCAGGTTGCCTAATGACAGAACCCCCTTGCTGTGGTTGGGGCCTATCATATGGCTTCCTCTGATTTCCTCCTCTCTTGGACCCAGCTGGTCTCTCAACAATCTTAGTCACACGGTTGCCACCTTCCAACCGCTCAACAACTTTCGCCTTCTCCACCAAGGCCGGAAACTCAGTGATGGTCATATGCACCACCATCCTCTTCAGCTCTTGTTTCAACCCCTCAGCAATTTTTTTGCATTTTCAGGCCTCATAAATAGCTTGTGAGTAGAAACGAGCTAGGTGCTCGAATCTCATCGCATAATCAGATACAGACAGTCCACCCTGGTGCAACCGCATGAACTCGGCCTCCTTAGCGTGCCTCACGCTCTTCGGGTAGTACTTCTCCAGAAACACCCTCCTAAAGCACTCCCAGTCCACTACAACACCTCTAGCAGTCAACATATGGTGGGTGCCCCTCCACCAATGCTTAACCTCTCCAACCAGCATATAAACAGCATAAGCCAGCCTCCTCTCCTAAGAACATCCTAGCATAATGAATATCTTCTACAGTTCACAGATCTAGTGGTCAGCTACCTCTGGGTCTGCATCTCCCTTGAACTGTGAAGGATGGCATTTCCGGAACTCAGCTAGATCTCAGCTCTCCTGCGACCCCACGGGCCTTGCTGCACTAGCTGCAACTCTATCAGCATTCATCCTAGCAAAATAAGCATTTTGCTGCTGCATAGCCATAGCCATCATCTCCATGGCACGGGCTATCTGCTCATTGGTTCTAGTCATTGTCTACAAAAGTAACAGCACCTTCAGTATACAATAACTAAACCAAATAACAATCAACAACACAGAAATCAACAAAGAAATTAGCACAGCAAAGTAACTCAACACAGAGCTCAGCACAACAAAAGCCGAAATGAACCACCCCCAAAGAGTGTCCACTGGACTCGAACTGCTCTGATACCACTAAAGTGTAACGACCCGCTTGGCCGTCCCACACAGCTCACAGATCCACAGCACCACACAAACCTCTGGCAATACCAATTGCGCCCGGCGCCACCTCTGGCAGAGACTCTCAAGGACTCTCCACGCCCGGCGAGACGTAGTCACACCTGGTGCAGCACCAAAAATCCCAAAAACATGTTACATACTGATATCGCGCCCAGCGCGGTCCAACCACGCCCGGCGTGGGCCATCCAGAGGCTCACATTCTCAAGCTCGCCCGGCGCACACACCCTTACACCCGGCGGGCTTGCCCAATGAACCCTCCGGTGGTCACGCGCCTGGCGCCAAGAACTGCGCCCGACGTGATACTCAGCAACAACTCACCAAGTTCGAAAATCTTGCCCAAATCCTGCAAAAATCAACATTTCCAGCACATGCAAACCAGTCAAAATGCCATATTAGACGTATCAATAATTCAGACTTTCTAACATATCAAGACTAAATATATTTGAAATTTCATATTAGACGTATCAATAATTCACTTTAAATAAGTCAACAATTTCTTTTAGATATGTCAACAATTCATTTTGGTTCAAATCTACCTTAGACACATAAAAGTTAAACCTAAACTTTCTAGCATACTAAGACTAACTCTATTTGAGATTAGACACATAAAAGTTAAACCTAAACTTTCTAGCATACTAAGACTAACTCTATTTGAGATTTTATCTATATAGATTTTATCTAAATTCATTTTGGCCCACCCTCCACCCTCCACCACTAAACCACTAAACCCCTAAACCCTAAACCCCAAACCCCAAACCCCAAAACCACCAACCCACAACCACCAACCCCCAACCCCTAACCCCTAACCCCTAAACCATAAACCATAAACCCTAAAACCCAAAAACCTAAAACCATAGACCGTAAACCCTAAACCATAAACCCCTTATCATGTACTACGATATCGTTGGACAAGTAGTCAATAACAAGTATGTGAAACAAGGAAGACTCCGTACACTCGGGTATTAGTTGAAATTAAAATAAAACAATGATTAACTACATTGGGCAGCATATGCTTACATGTTCAAAATGGTTCTTATAAAAGCATAGTTATAGCACAATAGATAACTAAAGGAAACAAACAAATTACATATGCATAGTGGACAAATGACGATTTGGCACAAAGGTATAGACTAGAAGTTGACAAAAACATGACAAAGTGGACACATGTTTATTCCATTGAAACAAAATTAGTAATTTTTTGCTTGTGTATTATTAGATTAACCATCAACTTGAACTTTATAATCATGATCCACATCCTCATGTTTTTCATCGTCATTACCTAACATTATAGAATCATTCAAGTTTTTTAGATCTACAGGAAGTTGGCTAGACTTCAATGACTATTATCATGTACGAATATTAAATGTACTACTTTGAAACAGTCCTTTTCATAATACTTATTTAATGTACACATATTTCAAAACCATTCTTACAATATTATATAACTATTTGTTTATAATTTAACCATAGACCCTACTATTCAATTGAGCATGTCTATCATATTGATCAAATCCATAAAATCTTACATTATTTTAGAGCACTTATTTTTTAACTATAATGACTTTGGAAGCATCAACAAGGCTCAAATAGCCAAAATCTGTATAATTACAAGATTAAATTGAAATTATTATAAAGTAACAGACAATCTTGCTTTATTCTTGTAACAGAACCCTTAATTAACCAATAACATCAACACTTGGAAAAGGATGGGAAAAAATAACCGCAAACAAGGAAAGACAATATTGGTATGCATAATAAGACTACAACTTCTAACGAAGAAGGATGTTCACACAAAAAACCCCTAACAAATTATATAATTGTAAGAGAATAGACAGCATCCGAGTGTATTCATTAATAAACCCCAAACAAATTGTTGGGTTAAACCAAAGATCAATATGATTATAGTGATTGCTTAGGGTAAACGTGCTACAAAGTATATGATACAATACGTGCATACGATTCGATATGATTCCAGTCGTTCAGTGAATCGTTTGGTGCTTGAATCACACTATGAATCCCATGAGTCCGATCTGAATCGCAAGAATCATGACTTATACAAGAATTGTAAGATTCTTGCACAAGCAATTATGTGAAGATTTTTTGGTACTTGAATCACACTGTGAATCGCACAGAAATATTATAATTAAATACTTATTCTGTTTCACTTGAATATATTACATATTAAATTTTTTATTACCATATCAGAATATTTGATAAACAGGTTGAAAATAAATGTTATAATTAAAAAATTCCTTTCAAACATTATAACTTATTGGTTATTATTTCTTTAAAAACTTTTCAATATAAAAATTATAAAATGACATAAATAAATAAATTGACAAATAATGTCTCTTATAATTTTATAAAGATCAAGGATTAAAATTACATGATAAAGATATTTTTTAAGTAATTTATAAATATAATAATTAAGATATTTTCATTCATTCGGTATAGTTTAACGCTCGTAATTCATTTTCAAAAGATCTAATGTTGAAAAATTAGTTTCGCTTGGTGGGAAGTCTTTCCTACCTTAGAATCCGTCCCAGTTTAAAATAAAAATCATGTTTCACTGGGTTTTAACGGTTGATGGCTTGATAAGAAATGGACGGGGCATTCTGGTAATTTCGCAATCGATTACTTAGGGTTTAACCGTTCCTAAGCTTAAGAGTGTCGTCGTTTCTATTCCTCCTCTTATTTCTTTTTTCCTCTCTAAACATAGCCACCCTTACACTCTCGTACTCCTGCTCCCTCTGTGCTCTCCTTCTCTCACCCTGGTTCCGTGAAATCAAACCACTCCGATCGTTGTGCTGTCGCCAACCAGCAAAGTAAGGTGTTGTTTTTAGAGAACCGGTGGCATCACCACCGGCGGCTTGCCCTTTGCGGTTTTATCAAGGATTGACTATTCTTTCTGTGGTTATTTAAATTGTTTTAGCTTTGTAATAACACACTTTGTAATTTGATCAAGGCTCACCACTATCTATTCCTTTTGGAGTCTAAGTAGAAGAGATGGTGAGGCTCGCTGCTGAATTAATATGGAAAAGCCCTCATTTCTTCAATTCAATTAAAGAGCGTGAGTTAGATCTTCGAGGTATTCCTATCTCCCTCACGCTTTCCATATCTCTCTTTTTTCTCTAATTGTCTTTGAGAACATGTTAATCATATCATTGGCAGGTAACAAGATAGCTGTAATTGAAAACTTAGGTGCTACCGAGGTGCGAAATTTACTCTTATTCCCTTCCTTTTAGTTTCCCCTTATATTCTTGAAGCTTCTTTTAGTTTCCCCTTATATATTATTCAGTTTTTATATGCTTCAATTTAAAACTTCATAGTTGTTCATATTCGTATTCATAAATTTTAGTTCCTTTGTAATGGATTTCTTGCAGGACCAATTTGACACCATAGATTTATCTGACAATGAGATTGTCAAACTGGAAAACGTGCCATATCTTAGCCGGTTGGGTACAATGCTCATTAACAACAACAGGATTACTAGAATTAATCCCAACATTGGAGGTACGGTGTGAACTTTGAACTGCACATCCTCTCTTTCCATTTGCGACCTCTTTCCTTCTAGTTGTTAGCCACAAAGTGTGTTGCTCTAGCTAACTGTGCCATTTGTATTGCAGAGTTTTTGCCGAAATTACACACACTAGTTCTCACAAACAACAGAATTGTAAACTTGGTAGAAATTGATCCTTTAGCATCCCTTCCAAAGCTGCAGTTCCTTAGTCTGCTAGACAACAATATTACAAAGAAAGCAAATTACAGGCTTTATGTTATTAACAAGCTGAAATCCCTCCGTGTTTTAGATTTCAAGAAAGTGAAATATATGGTAATGTTTTCTTTTTCACTACCCACACATCTTTTCTTGGCTTGTTTTTTGAAATTTGAAAGATAGGATGTTCTGGTAACTTTTGCGTTCAATTAAAAAATATGCATTTTAAGCTTGAAAAACAGAACTACCGCTCGCTGGCACTGAACACCCAGTCCAAGTGTGCAAATTTTACTACATATAGCTGTAGATTATGAAACAATAGCCCTTGTTTTGCTTAAGGTTTCATAGAGTGAATGACTTCAAATTCTACCCAGAATTTGGGTGCATGTTTTTTGAGTCTATCAATGTTTAAAAAAAATGAGAATTCCTGTATATTGTTAGATCTATTTCTTGTTTCCAATTACTCGTATCCTTTGATTGTATTTCCTTCTTTTGATAGTTTCTTATAATCAATAGGAACGGTTGGAAGCCAAAAACTTGTTTAATTCAAAGGAAGTTGTAGAAGAAATTCAAAGGACCCTAGCAAAAACGTTTTCACCTGGTGAAACTCCAAATGTTTCAGAAGCATCTGAGGAACAACAGACGCCCAAAGTGGTTGCTCCTACACCTGAGCAAATTATTGCTATTAAGGTATAATGATACTTGAACTCTTCAATTTATTTAAGGCTTATCACTGTAGGGTTGAACATCTGACATACCCATCATGCATTCTCCATGTTATGCATTTGATGTACCTTGCTAAAAGTTCTAGATGAGAAAATTTCCTTCTTGCTTCTACCTATAACTTTACATCATACCATTGGAGGCTATTCCAAAGTCATTATAGTTAAAAAAATAAGTGATCTAAAGTAGAACTAATAATGTTACCTTCAAATTATTGTTGCTTCTACAGTAATTTTTGCTCTGTTTCCTATTTTGTGCTGGTTTGATTTTTGTTGAATGGATAAAAGTTGGTAACTCATTCAACAGGAAGAAATACATTGATTTAGTTAATTTTGCTTAGTTTCTTGCATGTAAATATTGTGAATATTTGAGTAATATTTCTTTAATTAAATTAACCAGTCCCTAACTTGGAGCTTTAAAATTAATATTTGACAGTGCTTTGTTTTGACAATTTAGAAATATGCTGTAAGATGTCAATACCTGCTGTTCCATAGATCACCTATCTTTAGCTAAGAAATCATCTTCATTCTATATTATAGTAAATGACCATATGTTCATAAACTACAGAGTTCCCTTCTCTTGAAAGCTGGTAGATCAAGTTGCTAAGCTTGATTACCTATTGTTTGACACGTTTCTATTTTATGCAGGCTGCCATTGTCAATTCTCAGACACTTGAAGAGGTTGCTAGACTTGAAAAGGTGCTTGCTTCTCTAAATTAGATAACCACTTCTTGGATTTTAACTTTTGGATTGTTTCATACTCTTGTTTAACATAATATTGAAATTATTGTAATTAACATGATAAGATCATTTATAACTAATGAACTGTCGTAAGAGGGGTGATCGGATGGGAGACTCTCCTGTGAAATGTCTCATGTGCCATTGGAGCTCAGAGACAATGACATGTTCTCAGATTTTCTGTCATCATTTGGTAATTTCTGGCATGTAATAAGAACGCTGGATTATTTGTCATGTGGGTTAGATTGGTTTTTGGTCTGTCATAAATTGAGGAGTTCCTCTTGATTTTCTTTAGGGGTTTGGGAAAAGAGAAAAATTGTTGTGAGCTTTCTTATCATCTAGTCTTTGGATTCTTGGTATGATATTTCTGTGGTTATTTTCTTGTTTCATGATATCATATCTTCAAACTTAAAATTTCTAACATATTTCTAATTTAAATTGAGGAACGGTTTACATTGGTGACAAACATGGCATTCTTGCACCATTCAATAACTTTAGTATGTTTTTATTGGTCAAATTGTTGAATTATAACTCCTTTATTCCGAATTCCGATAGTTTGTGTCCAAGTTTGTAAAAATTGATCAATGATAAGAATATTATTAGGCAGTTATTATTTTCATATATGTGTGTGTGTATATATATATATATATAATTATATATATATATATATATCTATATATACACATCATAATCTTTATGTATATCAATGAAATACTTAATAACTTGGATTAATGTAAGATTTTATACATTTGATGAATATGATAGACACGTTCAATTCAACATTAGGTTCTATGATTAAATTATTAACAAAAAGTTATTAATGTTGTAAGAATGATTTTAACTTACAATGGTGAAACCGATGTCTCATTTAATTATCTTATCTATTATGAAAAGGATTGTTATAAAATAGTACATCTAATAGATGTACATGATAACAGGCATTGAAATCTGGCCAGCTTCCTGAAGATTTAAAAAGCTTGAATGATGCTATAATGTTGGATAATGTTGATGAAAAACATGAGGATGTGATTCGTGATGATAAAGTTCAGGCTGATGGTGAATCTATTAATACACAAGAACAGAAAAATACTGAATCTGTTTCAATGGAACAGGTATGTGTCCACTTTGCCATGTGTTTGTCAATTTTTATTCTATATCTTTGTGGCAAATCATCATTTCTCGACAATGCATATGTATCCTGTTTGTTTCCTGTAGTTATCTATTGTGCTATAACTATGTTTTTATCAGAACTATTTTGAACAAATAAGCGATTTCTAGCAAGTCTGCGGACTCTTCCTCGTTTCAGATTCTTGTTACCCACAACTTGTCCAACCATATCCCAGCACATGACAGCGCATACATGGTAAGTTGTCCCGTTGCAGGCTTGAGACTGTTTCAGGCCATGCTTGCTACCTTTCACCTGAATCTCATCACCCCAAGTAGCTGTTTTAGACCATACCCTGCCCCTTCATTCGCTATATAACAGTAAATATTACAAATCAAAGAAACAATTTATCAAAACAAAAATAAAATATAACAAATATTTTAATGTCTAAATAAAATCATCTACAACTACATGTTTGTAATATTAACATCATAACACTACCATACATATTTTGAAATTTAAAAATATTTAAGCTAAACTAAACATTTTTAAATTTATTTATCTTGAATTTATTTTTAAGTTAACACCAACCATAAACTGAACAATGGAGGTCAGTAATTGATCACCACACTGCACTAGTTGGAATCGTTTGATATTACTCCTCTTTCTCGGAATCTGACTTGGCACCGGTGGGAGGATGCTGGACGTTTGACTGAAGATCGAAGAAGAAACAGCGTGTGTTTTACTCTTCCTTATGATATTTTTAGAATTTAAACTAATAAACTAATTGGTTAGCTTGTCCAAGATGATTGTATAAATGATAATATATTATATTATAATATGAAAAGTTAAAAGAAGACTAGGAATTAGGTCGTCACTCGTTAGTATCACATGCAAGCCTGCCTCCAAGGTCCGTCTCTGGTTATATCCATAGGTGTGGCAATTCTAATGGAGAGGGATTTGTTTATATATCTCGGAAGACTCGGAAACTGCCAGGGCTAACCACATGAGCTAAGAATTCAAATCAAATTACTGCAATGGAGTAGAACAAGGTTTTGCAGCAGTAAGATTGTGCATAAAAACATAGGTAATAATCAGTCAAGTGGCATTTAATGATAAAATTATGCATGAAAGCAGGTTTAGAAGTGCTGTATTTAGCATATCTTATATGCTACTTAATGAAGCACGGTAAAAACTAACAATGTAGTACTTCCTCCGGATTTGATTATAAACAAAATTATCTAACTTAGACAGTTAGTTAAAATTATTTAATTTTGCTTATCTCAAATTAAAATAGGCTCATTTTCTATATTGCCCTTCATTATAAGTTGATATCAAGAATAAAGGAGTCATTAGAAATAATCTTAATTAAATGAAAGGTATTTTGAAGATAGTAACATTAAATATCTATTAAAATATAGGATATTTGAACTACGTAAAAGCACTACTCCTGTATAGAAAATTAACACCATAAATAGCGTACTTTTATGTCCTTCCATAAGTAATATCTTGTCTTTTCCTCTCGTTGATCTGTTTATATTTCACACCATTATCTTTGTATGTTTTTATGCTGTAATAGTATTGTATGCGATGCTTCAATTTTCATCATTTTTTTTTCAGGCTTAGGGTGAAGATTTTGAGTCCTAGCACTTTAATGTCGGTTTCTTGAGTCAGTTGGTAATTTTCCATGAAGTGTACATGATGAATCTTCTGTAGTGAACAACGGGTAGTACCTGATGAATCTGCTGTACTTGATGGATTACCTGGGAACAGGATGTTTCAATTTCTCTCGTAGTGAATTATTGCTTTAGCCGTATATGTATTAATTTGATTCTTTAACTTGAACGATTACGACATTTTTGTTCGTAGCCATCAATGTGTTGGTTCAAGATAACTATCTACCTGTATCCAACATATTGTCAAACACCAGGTGAAAATGCTCTGATAAGAAATCCATTCTTTGACAGCAGTGGTGAAGATCATAACTTTAGAGATGCAAACAAAATCGAAGTAAAATTGTTGACAGTTTTCTTGTTAATAAATTTTTTGAATTAGAAAAGGGGAAATTAAAATATAAATAATCAGTTTCCAAAATAATTAACTTAGAAATAGTTTGTAATAAGTAATTTTAAAAAAATTTAAAGGGTTATTTTATTTTGGTAGAGCAAGATAACAATTTTTTTTATCTTTACAATTTTCATTTTTTAATTTTTTTATTAATGTAGTTCTTTAATTATATGAATTTATTATGTTAAATTAATTTGTTAGTCTTTAAAGTTTTTCAAATTTTTTAATTTGTCTTAATAGTTAAAAGCACTCTAAAAAATTCTTATAGATAAAAAATTTTGTAATTAAATTTTCAACTCACTATTGTTGCTACAATTTGGTTAGTTTGTATTGGTTGGACATTTTGACATCTTTTAATATGTTAAAAATCATCCTTTTAATATGCTAATTAAACTAAAATTTAAGGTTTCTTTCGCATTTTAATGTGAACTATCTCAGTTTTTAACTCGTTGAATATTTTTCTATATTATAAAAACCAAGAAAATAATCGAAGATTTAAATTTGTCTGAGAATTTTTTATCTGCATAATTTAAATTTAAATTTAATATTTATGTTTGTAAATTACACAAAATAAATGCGTATTTTGTACAATTAAAATTTATAATTTTATTTACATATACATATACATATAATATATATATATATATATATATATATATATGTATGTATATGTATATGTATATGTATATGGATAACTATTAAAAATAATTTCATTTTAAAATTGTCTCGTGCTTTACTTATTTCGTTACAAAATAAATAGCTATTAAATATATACAACAATCTCGTTAAGTTGGAGTAAAAATATTTACTTTTACAGTAACAAGTTCACACGGTTGATATATGTTGATCTTACTAATAGATCGTTGTTTTATTCCAACATATTAATTTATTATTTTGAATTAGTTATTTACATATATTTAAAAACATTTTTACTTATAAACTTTAATAGTATAAGACAGTTATTTATTTTGTGTATTACATTTTTACTTTAAAATTATGCAGATAAAAAGTTTTACCTTTGAATTTTTTTCTTAGTTTTTATAAATAGATGTAAATTGAAAAATAAAAAAAATCATATATATATATGTGTGTATTTATATTAAATCTGAATGTGAAAGAAATCTTATATTTTAGTATAATTAGCATATTAAAATTAGAGATTTAATTAGAAGCACCTAAAACACATCAAAATAATGAGGAAGTTTAACATATTAAAAAATAACGTTAGCGGGTGGAGGATTTAATCACAATTTTTAAACTATAAAATTTTTTTAAAGCATTTTTAACTATAGAGACCTAATTTAAAAATTCAATAAAAACTATAATGACAAACAGATTAATTTAACTAATTTATTCTTATTTTTTAATACAATATTTCAATAATATAAATCATGCGTTGTAATATGTAAATATATATTATAAATGCAATTGAAGAAATGTGTGATGCTTTATTTTTTAAAAATAAGATTAAAAATTTGAAGAAAAAAAACTCAGTTGAAAATATATATTATATAAATATAAATTAGTTCTATGTATAGTGGGGTAAATAAATAACCTCGCTCACGTTAATAATATTTCTTGTAACTTGAAAATATTTTAAATATGTTCTTAATCACAGGAAGAAGGGCGGGGACACTCACTAAATTACTATTATTATTAATCCCAGGTATGAGTTTTAGGGCGACGGGCTACGCCTACCTTCCATTTGCTACACCGGTTCGCGTCGCGCCAACACCCAAGACATTAGTCCCACGCATAAAGAGCGCGGAAACACCTCATACAATACCCAGTCCTCGCTCCCAACAAAAACGGCATTCCTTAA